AATTTCTGAGTTAGAATACTGTTGCGAAGCAAATCTTGAATCTGACGGAGTGGTATTGAGGGGCAAATCTGGTTGAATGCTAATGGCTTGGTTAGAATCATGTTGCAAAACAAATGTTGCTGCTCTCGGAGGAACTGTATTAAATGGCTTATGATTATATTGAAGCTGTTGCATATTTTGTGAAGGAAACTTTATTGTGCAGTCCAATTCAAGTTTTCCCTGTGCACCGCAAAATATGATGTCCGACCATAACTTTTTCGCTATGAGTCTCTGTTGATAGTCCAGTTTTTCAATTGAAAAGTAAATCTTTTTCCCGTTATATTCAACTCGTCATCTACATTTTCTTCCTCGGACAAATATTTATGAGCAGCATCAAAAAGGGCCTTTTTTTTCTTCCAGCGCAGTGCTTTTTGTTGGTTGAGACCTTTTCCGTGATACTATTTTCGGTGTTACTGAGGCAGCAGAACTTATGCGGTATCTTAATAAAGCTTTGTGAAGTCTCTTCTGAATCTTCCTTAGTGTTTGTAGTTTGTAACTCAGTACTAGGGGACAATAAAGATTCTTCAGTTTCTTCATTATACCAGTTATTCTGAAAAAAAAAAAAAAAAAAAAATAGTTACTGATTATCTCACTCTAGAATGTTATTATGATTAAAAAACGGACAGTAAATAAATATTGGGACATATTTTACATTTATAGTTTTTGTGGAGGTTTTTGTGTGTATTTTTGTAGGTAGCAGAAAAAAAAAGATTACTTAATTATTCATCCTGCATATTCTTTTAGGTTCCATCAACAGAAACTGAATGGAAAGAAGTCAGCAATGGATTCCGGAATCTTTGGCAATTTAATAATTGTTTGGGCGCAATCGACGGTAAACATAATATAAATATATCAAAACCCGCTGACAGTGAATCATATTTCTACAACTATAAAGGAACATATAGTGTAGTACTATTTGCTATAGTAAACGCACATTATGAATTTATATACTTCCATACTGGAACAAATGGTCGAGTCTCAGATGGAGGAATATGGTCACAAACAAGCATATATAAGCGCTTACTCGTAAAAAAGCTAATCATACCAAGCCCCACTAAACTGCCAGGAACAGATGATATGGTGCCATATGTTTTCATTGGGGATGAAGCATTTCCATTATTGGAAAACTCCATACTCCCAAAAAAACATATCTTATGATGAAAAAATATTTAATTATCGTTTATGTCGAGCACGCAGAGTTGTGGAAAATGTTTTTGGAATATTGGCTTCTAGGTTTCGAATATTTTTACAGCCCATTAATATAAACCCAGATAAAATTAAAATTATAATATTAGCATGTTGTGCTTTGCATAATTTTTTGCGAAAGATATCTAAAAGTAATTATATTTCTGAAAACTGTGTCGATCGTGATGATTTTGCCAATGGAAGCATAATACCAGGACAATGGAGGCAGCAAACTGGTAGGTATGAGCAGTTTGGAAAAATCAAAAACGACAAATGCTAATGTCATTACAAAAAATATAAGAGAAACCTATAAATTTTTTTTTAACTCTGTTGGTAAAGTTTCTTTTCAAAATTATAACAATAATTTGTGCAAAAAAATGCTAATAAAAAATTATTTAATTACCTTATCTGTTTCTATGTTCATATTCGTTGTCTCGTCGTCGTCGTTTGATATTCCCTTTCTTCCTGTTTCACTTTCTCGAGTAAAAATCAATAAATCGTAATACTAAAGAGAAGGCTCATAAATATCATCAATCCCGGACCCTGTGCGTTTGGAGTCCTCAACCTAAAATAAGTAACTTTTGTAAATCCCAATTAGGAATTATGTAAATATAAAATGAAAAAAATGTATGATACCTATAATACTCGCATATTATTAATATACAATACATATATTTATAATCTTACCTTCTTTAGTTCGCGTCTAAAAGATGTTCTTATATTGTTTATTTTATTTTTCATCACTTCTTGTGATGCTTCTGGAAACAATTCCTTAACTGGAATTTCTTTTCATTTTATTTGCATAATCTTTTGATTTCACCTCCCATAAGCATCTATTTTCTCTATATAAATCAATAAAGTCTTCCTAGAACGTCTTATTTTTTAAATCCATAATATTGATTAAACCAAAAATAAATAAAAATTATATCGTAACTGCGCGCTGCGGCAGGAATACACTCCACACGTTCAGACTTGCGTTCAAACCCCACCTCAGACACGACCCGTTGATACGATATTTTACGGAAGCTCCCTACCACGGCATAATAAACAATCGGCAGGCTAACTTGTCTTGGCGGCAACGCTACGCGCACATCTACGCGCACACCGCCATTTTCTTAGGCCATTTTGGTGTCCAACCTTTCAATCAAGCCAGTGGCGTCACTGTCGTCGTTTATATCGACAAAAACAAACAAGTTGCAGTAGCACGGAATCAGTAGCGTGTATCTTAAATTTATTTTGTTTGTGATGTTTGTATTATGTAGTTATTGTTATTTTTTTAGAATTATAGATATTTTTTTGACACTTTTTATATAGTAGTTGTTTTCCAGTGTTAATTTGTTAACTTTTAAGTGTTTTACTATGTTAGTAAGATGTAGGTAGGTGCCTAGATAACGTCACGTAAAGTTTAGCGTCAATTTATATTTACTTATGTAGGTATATTATTAAGATTTAAAGTAAAATGTTATATTTTAAACATCTCCCGTATGGAGTTAACAAAATTGAAAAATCTTTATTTTTATTTTAAGGAAAAAGTCATTATAAAAAAAATCTGTTTGACGAAAAAATAGGTTTACTATATTAATATGTTAGGTCAGGTGTACATGGTCTTAATAAATGAAGAAATTTAAAATTGACAAAAGGAAAAAATCTGTATTACCTTATTGATTTTACGAAGAAAAGTCACAGTTTTCCTTTCGGTTTTCCTTCATAACTTTAAAAGGAAACTTTTTCTTGTAATTTTCTTCAACAAGCAGAATTTTTTGTAAGGAATAATTTTTTTTCTGAAAAAAAAAATGAATATTAATCGTAATTGTGTTATTCCCAAATATTGAAATGCTTAACAAAAATTTAATTCTGATATTCATTTTGATAATTATTCTAGATATGCGAATAACAAAGCTTTATAATCTTGATAAATCTAAAGTATTTTCATTACAAAAAGCAAGAAAATCTTAATTAGCCATTAAAGAAATTATAAGTAGTAAATTAGTAATGAGTCACAATCAAAATCATGTGTTTTAAGCAGTGCTATTAAAAATGTAAAATTCTTATATTTTGTCGAAGTAAATTCAAAAGCCCGCCAATTTTCAAGCTAAAATAGCATTACATCTTTCTATATTACCGACTGAGTATTAATTGCACAAAACTATTCCATATGTCGCTGAAGGTAAACATGCTGCCAAATTTCTGTGAGGAATCTGCAACTCTTAATTATCCTTCCTCCATGATGGTAACTGTGTAAACCCTATATCGGTCCAAATTCAAAGGACGTTCAAAAAATTGCAATGTTTAAATTTATTACATTCTGGAACTGAAAACTGCGAAACAGGTGGGGATGCTTTACTTGTAAGGCTACATGAAATTCGTAGGACTAGTAAGGATGAGCCATTTTCCAAAATCGCGTGTAATGGTGGCAATATTGTCGAAAATGTAAATACAAACAAGCATATTAATGAATTGCATGCACAAAATATTATTATTTTTTAAGAAAATTTTATTACATATGCGGATTTTTAATAAAAAAAATGTCTTTAAATTCAACGTTGCGATGTATGTACACAATATGCCTTAACACACGAAGACTTGGATATAAGCTCCATGTATTGTTATTATAAAGCATACAAAAAAAGCAAATAAAGATATTTTTGGCAATTTAAAAATGTCAAATAATAGTTTTGTATGTTTAATAACAAAAATTAAAATAATTTTTCATCACAATTTTGAATTATTTATCACTAAATCCGGCGTTTGTAATTTTTTTTTAAATTTAATTAATTCCGAGATAACATTTGACGCTCCTTGTTACCGATTTCCATAAATATATGTTATTAAGGGTCGATTCCACCGTTGTGTTAAACGGAGATTAAAATGACATTGTTAATGTAAAAATGTAATTTTAAACTTCGTTTAACACAACGGTGGAATCGGTCCTAAGTTATATTTAAGGCTGCTCATATATTTCACTTAAAAAATATTAATAGAAATTTTAAGACCATCAATAAAAACAAGCTAATTATTTGGCGCAATCTGTGAAGCTTTTTTGTTTTAATACGATACTGCCTATCAATACCTTATTTTATTACAAAATCTTTAAATACGCTTTAATCCGACCCTGACTAAGACCCCCGAATGGCGTCGTCAAGGTCAAATTTTCTTAGTATAATATTTGTATGCGATCAGCGGAGAGTGAGCCTGCCGATTGTTTTTTATGCCGTGCTCCCTACTGTAAACGATTTGACGACTGCATACTGCAAACCATCCAATTTCCCTACACACGCTACGATTTATCGTTAATATCGTACTGCATCGTACTGCATGCAGTACGATAAATCGTTACGTGTGTAGGCCGTTGTATTCATATATAAACAAGGTGTAAGCGCACCTTAATAAAGTACGCTGCTAAGCAACAAAAAAAGCTCAATTTTGTTTAATACCTTAACAATAAAAAGTTATCGTTCTTTCATAAATCAATCCTTGTTTCGAATTTCTCAAGATTAATTATTTGAAGTAATTCTTAAAAATTCGAAAATGTATTGATTTTGATTATTAATCATGAAATACCGAAATGAATTGCTTAAAAAAAATTTTAATACACCTCTTGTCCACAAAATATTTTGAATAGAATGAGTGTTAAACAGATTGAAAATGACTATTTTTAAAAGAATTCATTTGGGCATATATGAAATAATTTGAATTTTTTGATCTACCCCTTTTATTTAGAATTTGACCGTAGTAGAAGTCGTTGTCATGGAATTTACATTGTTAACGTTTCTAATAGAAACTGTAACTAAGGTAATGATTGTTGGATCAATGTCTTTTAATTTGTGAAACTGTCAGCCAGTTAAGATAAAAAAAATGTTTTGGGGTTCTACTCCAGCTTTAGACTTATTAGAAGAATATGTCACCATAAAAAAAGATGTGCCCGAAACCATTAACATCCTTATTGTGGGTAGTACAGATTGTAGACATATCCTCAAAACAGAAGCCCGTAAGTACAGACATAAGGTGGTGAAAGTAAATTTCTTCGTTGTAGAAGCATGTGTGGAAATGATCGCTAGACAACTATTGTTACTCAATATTGCATTACAGCCACAAGAAAGTTTAGGTCTGGACCAGAAAACCAAAATTTTTATGGAACTTTACGGGAATTCCTTAATTAGACCAGCAGTTGCAAAATGTTTAAACATAACGGCAGCCTCCTTAATCAATATGGTTACAGATTATTCTTATTTAGAAAAAATGATGAATTTTGTTAAATTGGAAATTAAATATAAGGAAAGGGATTATTTAGAAAATTTGTTAAAATTCTGGTGTGCTAAGGACGATTTTGATATCTGCAACATCTGGGATAAAAGAGTTAGGAAAAATTTGGGTGTCAGATACGACTCTAAAGTAGGCGCGTTTGATTGGGATCTAAATATGAGACTTCACGACGTCGGCGCCAAACAAATATGTAGTCAGGAATATCGCAATTTCAGATCCAAGGGTGTGTCATTTAGTTGGCTGGAATCTGAAGTTTCACGGCCTAACAGAACATTAGTTTGCGCAATTATGCCGAATGGTACTTATTTTGTCCACTATGGGTATTTGGGCGATATTCTGAACGGACCTTTTGTAAATTTTGGATTGGAATGTGAAGATAAAAGTCTTTTGAAATCTGTGCACGGTCAAAACTATTTTAGAGCTACAGATGTGACTGAAAGGAATTTGAAACAAATTTTTTATGAAATTCAAAACCAAGAGCCTTATAATTTGAGGAAAACGAGTGAAACACAGATGGGTAATATCGTTATGAAAGAAGATAATTTGGTTGTGGATACAAGAGGACTCGAATTTGTTCCAAGACCTACTAAAAAATGTATTGATATCGATGATAATATAACAATATTTTCCTCGTCTATTTTGGAAATAATGCGTTATAAAGACAAATACCACGACAAGTTTGATATGATATATTTTGGAAATGCATATTTACACTTTTTTGACAAAGAAATAATTAGTAAAATCTCTAAACCTGGCTCAGTGTTGTATATAGAGCATCAATTGTTTTTGGTGACCAATCGAAAGAAAGAGTTGGAGGAATTTAAAGATAAGATTGAAGAAACTATGAAAGGATTAGATTTTGATCGACTAGAATTTAATTTTGAGAAAGAGGCTTATGCTAAGTTTATTTTAAAATAAAATATTTAAATAATGATAGTTTGTCAGTTTTAATTTCTATCCTACATTTTAGGTCAAAAATAATTTATTTTTTTTCTTTTCTAGTAGGGAATGTGGGGGGCTCAGTGGTTAGAGTCTAGATTTCCAAATCCATGGCTTCCAGGTTCAAATTTCACCGTTTTGTACAATATATTTAATTAAAAAATAATTCTAAAGCACAAGTATGAATCAGGTATGGATACACTTCCGCTACTTTTTCACCTCAAAAACAGTAACCAGGCGACCAGTCCCTAACTAATCGACTGAATGTCTACGGCTCGGTCAATTGGTCTAGGTGTAATAATTGGCATTATGCGCTAGTTCCATTGATAAGGCAACGTAAGGATACGTCATATGTATTATTTTTGACATACAAAAGTGGGACCGGTAGGCGTGGCTTTTGCACTCACTAAAATGGCGGAAGAGCAGAACCGGATTTACAAGTTTTTATTGTACTATTTCTGGTTAAATATTATTTGAACTATAAAAAAATAAATTTCCTTTTTATTGACATTGACTTAAAAGGTAGTGGAAGGCCGAGGTTATAAAAGGGGGTTTAAAAGCTTAAATATGCCCGGTTTTCAGCCGAAAGGTGCTAAATAAAGTAAATGAAAGAAATAAAATATAACTGATTTAATTATCACTCAAGTGGCTATTAAGCGCTGGAGAATATATTATTTGCAAAATTGCAACTAATAAATAACCATGATATAACTAACTTGGGGCCGATTCCACCATTGGGTTTAACGAAGTTTAAAATGACATTTTTACATAAAATTTAATTTTAATCTTTAATTAATAGTTTAAACTTTAACACAATGGTGGAATTAACCCTAAAGCGTTGAAATCATTCACAGAAAAAATAAATAGTACATTTTTGGTTCACATAAGCGACAAAAGTAAACAGAGTTCGATTTAATGGATCAGTCGTCACACGTTTGCACTAGGGCACATAAATAGCTCAATCTTTAGTTTTTCGTTTTTCTATGAGCCCAATGCTTGTCTTTAAATGGGAAAGTACAAGGTCGCAAATGTCAAGTAATCTAACCATGGAGGAAGAATCTAACCTTACTTTCTCGAAATTAAGAACAAATGTTCATACACTAAAAGCTCGATAATCAGTTATGAAACTTAATGCAAGGCTTGCGGAAAATAGCTAATAAGCAATCTATGTGTAGGTAGATGCACTATTCAGGAAATCAAAATGTGGATTAATCTTAATTGGTCTTGGTACTTTTGTAGATTCAGACTGAAAGGTGTATATCTTCATGCAAGACATTCAGTAAATCAGCGAAGCCACAACCAGCGGTGTGCAGGTGCACTTCTAACAAATGTAAAATATGAAGTGATCTTACTTGAGACCTATAGATCTAATGACGATAGTATGGTAGTTGGTTTGAGCTGGGCTTCTCACCATCTGCAGAGAGTATGGCTACTTATGTAAAGGCCTACCCTAATAACACACAACATACACCACAAGCGTGCCGGTCTAATTTAATTGGTCTATGCACAATAATCATGCATGTATAATTGAAAGTCAGACAAAGAATGTGAAGATAAAGTTGAAGTCTCAATCATAATTAAAGTCACAGATGAAGTTAAAGTTAACAGCAAAAGAGTTGAAATTGTAGGATGGTGATAAAGGGAGGCCAACATCTAGGTAATGTTTATTGAGTTAGGAAAAGTATCCACTGTAAGCGCTTTTCTTAACCACTAAGGTAAAAACCAGAATATTTTCTAATACACAATTTCTTCGCTAGGCAAAATAAGAAATAAATTTGTGAGAGTACTTCCCAAGTGTTTTTCCAAAAGCTCTAAGAACAAAATTGACGAAAATGGCCTAATCCAAGTTCAAACTCTAAAACTTGAACATTAAAGATAAGTATCTTACTGTAAAACAAGTAAAACCCCGTTGTTGATTAAATGGTTGAATAATTCATTACCTAGGTGGAGGTAGAACAGGGACTAGAGTTTAGCAGAAAAAGCTACTAGAAAAGGTGAACAAAACAGACTGGGGCATATGAACGTCAAGCAAATATTGTAAATGCAAATAATGTGTGCTGTGATTAAATAAAAGTGTACAAGGAATAAAGTTTTAATATTTTCTTATCCATATCTATGAGTGATATTTATTTTTAATACTAGACAAACGGTTATGATTTTATTGCTAGTCTCATTAAAAAAAGACTAATGTTATTTTTTTTTTCGATTTATGGCCAAGGTGTATATACCTAATATGCCAGTCTCAAGCTGGTGTTTAAATTCTTAATAATTGTGTTCTGTGTAGGCTTTGTTACTGTTTCCCAGCGCCACTTCAGGAACAGCACTGTTAATTATTAGAACCCAACAGTGAATGGTCGAGTGGGGAATCATACCAAGGCATTAGAAAATATTTTTTTTATTATTATTAGAACTTATATACAGTGTGTTCATAATATGCACTGTACAAACTTAAATATTATATTCCTGAATGCTGCAAGAGTTTAAATATCAAAAAATATATTAACACAGTATGCCATGTGTTCGAATATGTCGAAGCACAGCACTGAATGTTTGGTGCTTTGGAACTTGTCGATATGGAAATCGTCGCTTGTTGAGGAGCTGGATAATCTCGTGGTTTCCATGTTGGAGCAGTCGATGTTGGTGACTACTGGCAAATGTTTGTATTGTATTTTCAACAGTCTCCACTTTAATGTTCCTATGAAGATCAGTATTGTGGCAGTACCATGGTGCATCGACGATGTTCCTTAATACTTTATTCTGGAAACGTTGAATAACTTCGATGTCACTTTTACTGGCACATCCCCAAAGCTGGCGAATCGCTTCATTTTCACCAATTCCTTTAAACGCACTAATCTGAAACAAATTATAGGTAATTAAAAAGGTATATTAATATTGTTTTAAATTAACTATAATAAAACAAACAATACTCATGCATACACAAAACATGAAGCTCTACTTTTCAATCAGCTGTAGAACTAATAAATAAAATTGGTGGAAGGACTGCAAATGTAGGTTATATTTAAATAGAAATAAGAATATATAAAATGCCTATAAATTTGATAAACGAAATAGCGTACGATTAATGTACTTCTCAAGAAAATGCTTGGAACATATACAGCTGAATTTAGAAGGTTCCCAATTATGCTTCTTGACAAACTGTATTCACGCGCTACGTTTTTCAGGATTTTTTGGAAATCTATAAATATTATTTCGTATGAAAAAGTATTTATTCCAATATAGGTGGGCCCAAAAGTTGATAGATGATTTTTTTGCATTTTTAAAAGCATACTTTTACACATTTTATACAAACCTGTCATAATACTGTCCTGTATAATATTTATAATTTTGATACTAACCTATGAAACGTTATTCCAGTCGATTTTTCACAAAAACGTCTATCGTTAGAGCAGGAACGTATAACACAGCAAGGCATTATATACTTTATAAGTTTTTAACACTCAAAATTTGCTCAAACACAAATTAAATTTAAATTTAATTACACAAATGACACTAAAAATATAACCTATAAAATTTGACAATTTGCACTCACAGTAATGGCGGACCGGTCCCACTTTTCGTTTACGCATGTCGTATCCCTAGGTTGCCAGATCAATGGCTAGTTCAGTGATTATGGTTCCACTGACAATTAAAGTGACAGTAGATTTTTTGAGTGCGTTTTATTCGTTTTGTTTACCTAATTTATATCGTTCTTTCACTTAATATAAATATATTTCTAAAGTAAGTAGATAGCATAAACTATTTTTTATGACTTGTTAACAATATTTAGAAATAAACTAAATACATTAAAAACGTATGTGTCAAATTTATTGATGTTTTTGTTAAAAGTTTGGTTAGAATTAAATGTCAGTGGAACCAAAATGACATTACACTGAATTAGCGCATTATAGGAATAATCTAAATAATACACATACAATTCTAAATGCAATAAATGTTTTAACTAAATACAATAAACCAAACAATTAGGTACTAGATTATTACTCCAATAGCTTGGTTGATATTCTAAAAAATAATAATTAACCTGTCATGTAGGATTTTGATTTAAATAGAGTCGTTAGTCGACAAAGGGATGTACCCGAAACTCTAGCCAAAAGGTCGCTCTAACAGTGACCGTGCCTTCAGAATTCTGTCCCCAGGCAGCAGACTGACGTCATTATGACATCTTATTTTCGTGATACAGGACGTCATTTATCCTCTGAAAACTAACGTGATAATGACGGTAAAATGACGTGAATATGTTACAGCCTAAATGACGTCATATTTAGACGCCCTTTTCACGTCTAAATATTACGTGTTTATGACGTTTCCTAGTAGTCTTTATAACGTCATTTGACGTTTTTATAACGTTGTCGTTATTCTTTATATACTCTGTTTTTAAACTAAAAGGAGCGATTTGAATTTAAGTTGGCAATTCTGTAGCCTTCTGATTGGTCAGATTACAGTCAGTTTCACACATTGCTTTTTAACATGAACATCAGCTAATAATTGATATTGTTGACAGTTCTGACATTTTATAATTTGATATCTCATCCATTACTTAGTTTTTTACTTTATTTCGTAAATAATAGTTCTTTAGTAAGCAATTTTATTGAAAATCTACAATTATGGATCCTTCTACACTGAGTACTATTAAAGGTAGCAATTCCTGAAAAGCCTTACAAGAAAAGGAAGACACCTTATTTTTTTACATGCTGATTCTGAAGGTTTTGTAGAAAATGCATTATTGGTTTTTGAAGGTAAAAAGATGGGAGATTACCATAAATAGATGAATTCCAAAGTATTTTAGAAAAAAATAATTTTATTACTGATTTTTTAAAACTAAAAATTGATGAATTTCTAACCAAAATGATTAAAATGTAACTAAATATTCAAGCAAATTTTATTTATTAGAATAGAATAAAACTATTTAAAAAATTGTTATAACATTTAAAACACCATCTACTACTTTAGGGATAATCTTAATTTGGCACAATGAGTTAACATTACTTT